CGGCACCGGACCACCCCGGCAGGGCCCCTTCCCAGGCAGCCCGGCGGGGAGCAGGCGCTGCCCCTCGGATGCTGCTTTGAAAACTTCCTTTGGGGTATGACTGTGACGCTTTGGCCCCTCCAGCTACGAGCACCTGGCTGCCAGCTGGAATTCCCGGGGGGCTGGCAGGCTTTACTGCCCTCCCAAAGTTTGACCGTGTTTTCTGCCACCCACGAAACAGTGGTGTCATGGAGCGATAACCTTACCTATTAGCACTGCTTACCCTTGGAAGATATTGGACTTAAAACTGCATTTTCATTCTCACCTGATTACAGATGTGTGCACAATATAAGCATCTTTGGGGAGAAATAAAATGCATAGCCATTCCAGAGAATTCGGAGCTTGAGGGTGGATTCATGCTAGGAAAGTCACCAAACCTTCACATAAATTATCTATAAATTGTGCAAGAATAAAGTGTTCTGGATAACTCCTTGCATTATAATCAGTCCACATATTTTATCCACCTGAATTATTATACTGTGTTTAAAATGCTATTTTCTATTTTGTTTGTACCTTCAGGGACTGAACTAGGGGTACTACAAAACAATTCCCCATAAAACATTGACACCAGCTGGAATCAGCTACTTTACTCTCTGATGGGGAAGCCTAGTGTGTGTTCTGTATTCTTCCATGAAGACCAATTACAATACCTTCATACCTGCTGTTCGCTTTGCCCAATTAATCTCATTTAAAAGCAACATAAGAAAAACAAGAAAAGTCGAATCACAATCTTCCTGCAGCCAAACTCAGTAAAAACAGACTGTTTCAGTAGCAGAACTGCTCAGACCACTGTAAATAGTGTAGTCCTTTGTGCTGCTTGCAGCTCTTTCATGAACCAATTCTAGCTTGTGTTAATGACATCAAGTGTTTTTTGAATAGATGGGACTAAGCTTCATCTGTTTAGAGGACATCTGTGTGTTTTAGACACTCCAGGGTTGGCTGCCTTTTCAGTTGGAGAGTGCAGATAGATCTCTGAGTCACAGGATACTGGGTCTATTGCCTGATTGGATCCCCTAACCTTTGAATTGGGAAAGTATCAAATGAGGGAAGAGCAGTGTACAGAAATAGGTAGATTTTTCTACCTATTCTACCTATTTTTCTCTGCACAGAAATAGGTAGATTTTTCTTCTCTCCCAGTCAGGGACCTGTGAAGAAGCATTCAATAATCTGGATTGTTTCCTTCCCACGCTGTTGGGAGTTACTGGGCAGACTGAGTTATCACTGTCTTTCCTTGAAATCTTACTATATTTTTCCTGAAAGTTGGTTCTCACACTTCCTGCATTTGTTTTTTATGTGTCATTTGTAAAATCTCCAGTTGCCTGCAACACGACAACTGAAAAAAGAGGGCGTTTCTCTTTTTTTTTAAGTGGAATCTAGTATCTGGCTAAGTACCCTGACAGTTAACTGTCATGTGGACCCCGAAGCATCTGTTTGCAGATGGATCTGAAAATGAGAGAAATCAAAACAGTAAAGGGAGCAGTAATGTATGTGTAGAAGGAGAGAAAATGGGGAGTATAACAAGAAGCTGATGATGATAATCCTATTTAGCAAGACCAAACAGTGAAGGAAAGCCTATGGCTGAAATTACTGAAGAGAGGGGAAGAGATTTTCATTCACAGTCAAATATAAGAATTCCTATAAAGGAAAGCTATTCTCCAGCACTGGGATAGAAAAGCCATTTATGTGAGTTTTTATGACCAGGAAATAAAAAATAATCAAATTTTGATCAAATCAAATGCTGAACTTTCAAGGAACAGTCACTTAGTGCTTGCTGTGTGTGATCAGTTCTACTTTAAGTTGGTAGTCCGGCTGTGGAAACATGGAAGAAAAATATCATCAATGAAAAGCTACATTATCATCAATGTTGCAAGCCTGTAAGCACTATTTAAAATAGCTTTTGCTGCAAATAGAGTTTAAAGTTAAATACTTTCAGGCATGTTCTTGCAGGAGCTGCATCTCAGTCCAAAGTAGATGACCTATCTTTTCTAACAGTAATCTCATATTCCCCACCAAAACCATATTCATGCGCAAGATAATTGGCCCTAGCTTTGGGAAAGCTTACTGAGTTTCAGACTTCAGTGACTTTGGAGAAAAAGAAAAAAATCAGTGTGAAAGTCTTTTTTGTGATGCCAGTGTACATCAAAAATGACTGGAAAGTTCAAAGGAGTTTGAGCTTTCACAAACTTACATATACAGTTTCTAGAACTATGAAGTGCTGTCTTTAATTAGAGCTCTGATGTACAGTGACAACTGAATTGATAAGAATCGATGGTGATGCTCTCCGAGTGTTTAGTATAACACTCAAGGGTGTATGAAAACTGCAATTATTTGCACTTCCATTATTAGTCACATGCACATCAGCAACTTGTGGACTTACCTGACAATTTGTCTAAACAACAAAGTGCTCTGACTAATCATGGTCATGACTGTAAGGGAGAGTTGTAGACATAAGAAGATTTTCAAATTCTGTAGGTTCATCTTAGGTTATACACCATTCCCCTGAATGCTTCAGCCTGTGGTAAAGCCAGGATTTGAACAGCAGCAAGCTGCCAAGGATGCTATATGTATATGTATACAACATACATGCTATACATGTATGTTGTATACATATGGTATTCACATTAGAAAATCATGCCTACATTTCATTCACAAGCATCCAGTATTATCAAAGCTTTGTCTCTCCCATGTTGCAAAGAACTGTTCCATAATGAAGTAGCAATATTGGATTGTAGCATGTCTTAATCTGTCCAGTTCAATATTTTGTCAGTTGAATATAAAGAAAATAAAATTAGTTTCACAGCCTATCTAAGGATAGGTTTTTAGGCAGGAGGGAGTGTTTTTGCTTATTTTTCTTTATATTTAAAAAGAATAAGTGTTCCACTACAGACAAAATTCAGTATAAACTCTATCGTTTCTAATAGGAGCTCAAACGACCTTTTCAAAAAGAAATCAAGACTTCAGAGTCTTGTTCATGTTCATGCTCAGATAGGACACTGGCTCAATGTTAATTCATGTTAAAATAATATAACCAACTTGATCTTGGATTAGGTTTGAAGAATGAGACTGTATGCCTCCTCAGCTTAGATGCCAAACTGAGGTTAATCTGTCTCTAAGAAGCTATAGGCCAGATCCTCTCTGAGAAATCCAGCCCTTTTGCTCTGCTCTGGTTTTGCAAAGGGTCCAGAAAGCAGCCAGATCTCTCAGGCTGCACGTTTCAAGTACAGAGCTGATCACACTGGGAACACAGGTAACGCAGTTCCCTGCAGCCTAATTGTGGATGGCATGACTGGGGTGGGACAGGGACCGCATGGCTAGTTTCAGACCCACTGTCAGATAGCTATAAATCATAGCATCCCTCCACTTTGCTATTTTCTATGCTGAGGTGAAGCAATACAAAAACAGAATCTAGATTCTACACAAGCATCCCTCACCTACTATCTCCTATTAAAAATATACATTTATCTCAAATTTATTCCAAATATTTTATTAAAATAAGACCTCTCACCTTTAGTACTTTCCCAAGGACCTTTCTTCCTGACTTGTTTTTGTAGTTGTTTGTAGTGGATGCATACCTGCAGCAAATAAATAAATGCTAGGTTTAGATTTGAAAACTACATGGCAAGTTACTGTATTTCATTGTTACATTAAAAAAACTGTTTCCACCAATTGTAGTAAAATTTTAGAGACCCCAGAGATGAGCATTAACTTGGAGCAAAGAAAGAAATTTTAATTAAGAGCTGCAAGTTATTACTCAGATCGTGGAAAATGATAGATTTTTTTTTTTTTTAGTTTTTGTGA